AGTGAGACTGCACTTTAATTGGAATTACTCTTAAAGCTATTCGTGTCCTCACACAGATTTAGGAGGAGGGATGTTTGAAAATGCTCTGCACCTTGCATTCAGTTTTGTTTTTCAGTTACATTAGAATCATTTTTTAAAAAATATTTATTTATTTATTTATTTATCTTTAGAAGGGAAGGGAAGGAGAGAGGGAGAGAGAAACATCAATGTATGGTTGCCTCTCATGTGTCCCCTGCTGGGAACTGGCCTGCAGGGAACTGGCTTGCAACCCAGGCATGTGCCCTGACTGGGAATTGAACCGCGATCCTCTGGTTTGCAGGCCCGTGCTCAATCCACTGAGCTACACCAGCCAGGGCACATTAGAATAATTTTTGAAAGACTTGGTTGTTTTGTTGTTTCTGTCCTCTCTATCATTATGGTAATATAAATATTCTTAAATTAGAGCTTATTTTAGCCATTTCTTTTCTAGTTCCCCTTGGTACGTACTGAATTAAACTGCTGCTCAAGAAAAAAAAATTAAAGATCTAACCATGAGTAAGATGAAAATATTAAGAAGGATATTAATTGAGCACGACATGGTAGGTGGCAGTAAGAAAACTGGGATCACAAACAGGGTTCCTCTTTCATTGTCAAAATCTTGTCTGGACGTCTCCTCAAAATGCAATCGTGCGGCCAACACCTGACCTTCCACCCTTTATGTTGCTATGCCCCTTCTCACTGGCTCCTTTTCTCTCATTTCATGTTGTCTCTTCCCTTCTTTCATGGAAGCATATTTTGAAATGGCTATTCCCCCCTACCTATCTGAACTACTGGTGGCCGTTACCTCAAGGTCCCCGAGTCTCTCCCTACATGTAATAAGGAATGGAGGATTATCGACGGCCGGGGTTAGACATGCAAAGCAGACTGGACTAACATGTTGCTTTTCTGCCAAAACCAAGGACAGAGGTTCATAGGAGACTTGGAATAAATACAACTTAGGGAACAGGAAGGCGAAGAAGCAAGGTGCTACATTTTGAGCGCAAAACAGAGGAACATTTAGGACAATTCTTAAAGCCTATTCTACGAAGAGCTTCTGAAACACCCTCATGATGACAGGCCAACACTCTCACTGGTGCCTCGGTACCCGCCCCTGACAGCACTGGGAGGAAGAGACCCGCAGGCCAACAGAGTCAAGAGTCTGCCCAAACCGCCGAGGCCAGGCTGAACACCAGCAATCGGTGCCCGGAGCTCTCTGGCCTCGGGCTCTCTCTCTCTGAAGAAAACACAGGACAGCAGGTACTTACTCAGGGACTTTCAGTCACTTCAAGGAATTCACGTCTCCAATAACATCCCAGGACCATCTTGGGCTCTCTAAAGAGTACAAGAACCAGTGTACTTCTTCAAAGGTTCTTCTAGAGTCCAAGGCTGGTTTAAAACTGAACTCTCCACAGTATCTCCACTTTTGCAGCATCAAAGAAACACACCAAATATAAGATATAAAAACACAGCAAGAGAGAGAGACTTAGGAGAGAGACAGTTGCTGACAAGGTAAAAGGCCAGGGAAATGAAGGGGTGGCCAAGGTCATTCTCAGGTACCTATGCAATGTTGAGCAGACTCACGAAAAAAATGCCTCTTGTGGAGATTTTGATGGCCATTCTTTGGAACCAACTAGTCTTTGGGAAAAAAAGGAAGCACAAATGGATTATAGTAGGATTAAAAATCTTACTATAAAAGGGAAATACTCAAGGTCAAGGTCTCAGGTAGCTCCTTTTAACGACCGAGAGAATGTGTGCACATAGGCTAAATAGGGGTGGGGGACAGATGTCTTGTTTGCTGACACTAGACACATTTGACCCTAGGAGCTGTGTGACCCTAGGTACGTGAGTCTTAGGCTCACATAACTTCAGGAAGGGATGGAGTCCCTTTCCAGTCCACTGCAGGCAAGGTAAATAATAAAATAATATTCAATAAAAAGTTGTAACTATTAAAACAACTAGGTGGGGCAAGGATTAATAAAATATCCCATTTCACAGATGGGGAAAGCAAGACACAAAGTTTAAATGAATCTGCTCACAACCCTCAGCTAATAAGAGAGGGGGGTGTGATTAGAACCCAGTCAGTGTAGCTCCCAGATACACAAGCAGAGCCAGCCACCTTTTGGAAAGTTTGGCCTCCCACCAGGACCGGCCCACATGTTGTGTTGCATTCCCATCCCCCTACATTCATGTCCTTAAGAGTTTTACTGTATATGAGAGAGTCTTAGGAGTGTCTTATGATTTTGCCATAATCAAAAGCAGAACATCTCCTTCCCCTTCTTCTCCAATGAAGCTTGAAGGCAAACTACAGCCAAGTGTCGGGATGGGCAGGCCCCGCGGAGCCACGAGACGGGCCAGGTGCTGTGGCATATTTCACTGAGTGTGGCTAGGCCATGGGGGGTACTTATGAGAAAGAGAGAACGTTAATGTTTACGGGTGGGAGATGAAATGGAATAATAACCTAAATAAAAGACAGAACAACAGATACCACTTTTGTGGTATCTGTGCACAAGTATGCATCTATGTGGCATATGTATCACATTCCCCAAAATTCAAATTAATTTCAAATCTGCCCAATAATTAATTTCAGTGGGGGGGGGAGAGAAGGAGAGAGAGAGAGAGAAATGTGAGGGAGAGGAGAAACACAGAGAAACAGGAGAGAGGGAGGAAAGGAAGGGAAGGGAAAAGGAACGGCCACAGAAGGGTGAAATAAAACAAAAATGGTTTGGAGAAAACCTCTTCCCGCTGAAATCTGCAGTAAAATCCAGATTCCTACTGAAATGAAAAACTCATGTTGCGACGGTTTCTGGCTGAGCTTCGCAGTGACAGAAAATCAGTATTTGATTTGATAATTTCTGTGCTAAATACCACAAGTCACTTCTCAATGCCATTTCACTGTTCTCTTCCCACAGTAAATAAAGAGTAGGATAATGCATATTTTCTCTCCCAAGGTTCGTGACCATTATCTCAACTGTGCAACTGCGACAAATCACCCCAGGAGGTCTTGGCAGAGTAACTCCGACCATCGCGTTTACTCGAGGTGAGCGAGGTGAGTGGCGGCCCCAGGACTGGGCGGTAACTACCTGGGGCTCCAGGCAGCCCCACCCAATGTGCTCCAACGCTGCCCAACGATTCACTCCCAGTCACACACGCTACTGTAAGTTCACCACTGAAATCCAAACGCTTCGCCATGAAAAATGCTCCTGTCATTTTCTTTTCCGATAACTGGGTAAAAGCCTCACAAATCCTCTCGTAAAAGACTCCATTATTTTCCATGTGCACACGGCTAGACTGAAAACAGACTTGTTAACCTATATCGACAGGAAAGCTCCGAGGGATATACAGAACATATTTAACACGTCATAGTCCAAGACCTTTTATTGCCCATTCCCATTTGGAATTGCAGCCTCACAAAGGGCAGCATTTGCTCTATGAAGAAACCACTGAAAAGACACTTCCTTAACAGATTGGTGGTTGCCAGTGGTAGGGGGTGGGGGAGTGGGCAACATGGGCACAGGGCGTCAAAATCGCAAACTCCCTGTCATCGGGATGTGAGGTGCAGCACGGTGAGCACAGTTAACAGTGCTGTGGTGCGCATTTAAACGCTGCTGAGAGAGCCTATCTCAAAAGTTCTCACCACAGGAAAAAAAATTCTGTCACTATGCATGGTGACAGATGTTTAACTAGACTTACTGTGACTGCTGCACAATGTATAGCAAGTCATTATGTCACACACCTGAGACGAGCATAGTGGTCTGTCAATTATACCTCAATAAAAATTATTTTAAAATTATAGAACTATACAATTACAAAAATTATATAATAAAATTATATAATTATACCTTATATAGTAAGCTGAAGCTATTTTTCTTCCTTTTTTTATAATGCAGTTTTTCAACAAGCTGCAATTAACGTCAGAAAGACTAACAATCTCATTGTACCCTATTTTAATAACTTCTTTCATTTTCCACAGTATATATATCTTTCCAAATTTTGCAGAACTCTATTCTACATATTTTTTTTATAGTTTAAAAGTCACATAAAACATAATATGGGACTTATCTTTTAACTGGTACATTTTCACATTATGCATGATTCAAATATATCATCTTTTTTTCTTTTTTTTTCTTTAATTATTTTTCAATTACAGTTTTCTGTCTTTAACTCCCATCCCATCCCACCCCTCCACGTCAAATATGTCATATTTTTTAGCAAATTCATTCAAAGGAACTGATTTCAAAAGAAATCTACACATGCACAAAGGTTTTAAAAAGAAGGCTAAGAAACAAACAGAACTCTGTAAAAATCACATTCTTAACATACACATCTTATCCTAAACTTATAAAATAGTCACATCCATTATCAATCACTGTTTTGCACTTGATCACACACACCTCATTTATGCCACTGTAGAATGTTACGAGTTTAAGCTATTTCCTTGAAAACAACCTGAAGATAAGAAAAATCATGCCAATGATGACCAATTGCCAATGGTTACCAATAAAAAAGCCAAGTGCAAACAATTCGGGCATTCTACAATTGCTCAGACTTAATTTATTCTATTTTTCAGGGACAACCTGAGTGGCTGTGACTAGTGACTGAATGTAGTCTGAACTGCTTCCAGTACCAGTGTGCAAATGCTTTCTTGTTTCCATAGTGAACACACCACCTTTGTGACCACTCTCGAATGACAGTCTGCCTAGAAATGAACAAAAAACTGCCCACCAGCCACTTGTATCAGCAATTACTCCAGATCCACTCATTATCTCTGTATTATTCATCATAACGTGGACTTTGAGGAGCAGCTAATTGAAGGGGACCGTGTGGTCTGATGCATCAAGGACAAGGCCCAACCAAAACACCGACAACAGAACCGGAAGCAGAAAACCAAACATGATCCTGAGCCTGCCTATTTGAGATAGGAACATACGCAGAAGAAAATAGAAACCTAAGTATATTTTGGAAAGTAGTACTTCAGTGCTTACTTTCAGTAGATCCTTGGGGAAGTCAGCACCCTCATTAACACCTTGGAGGTTTGCAATGAACTCCTGGCAGGTCATCTTCTTTCCAATATTCTGGAATAGAGACAAATAAGACATCCTAGTGATACATATGGAATTAACATTAATGCTCGAATAACTGCTTTGGTTTCTCTGAAACATGAATACACACACACACTCCAATATATGTGTATGTATACTACACACATACCTACGGTACAAATTTATATGCATAAGAAAAGCAGGTGGTTTTATACTTTAAAAATTGTCATTAAAATAAATAGCAAAATTCTGCCAAACCTTTGGTTTAACCCCTAAGGAAAAAAAATCCATGCTCCATTTATACAAATGATATATAATTTAGTTTTTAATGAGAAACATGGATAAAAATGACATTTCTGGGTGGAACTCTGATAGCTATTTACTTGCCTTTTTAATTGCATTTCCTATGTATTCTCAAGCAGTGTGAAGGATCTGAGATTTTTACCTCTCACAAGCTCACGAGTGACCCACCCCCGGGTCAGAGGGTGGGAATTTGCTACAACAGGAGTGGCGTTCTCCTGCTCCAGGGCAAGCTGAGGAGGGCCTGCAGACAGCTGCACCTGCAGTGGGGTGAGACACGGGAACGGGTCCCTGAGCTCGGAATGGGCAGACCGCATGTCTACCCCTCGGCTTAAAGGGAGAAACCAGCCCTTTTCTCCCAAAGCTAAACGCAAACTTATCCGCTGGCTCTGGGGTCACTATATCCTCCACAGCTACTCACTACAAACATCATCCTGAAAAAATAGAGCAGAACAAAGGCAACCAGGGCTTTTGTGCACAAAATGAAAAGAAAAACAAGAGCGTCATGGAGAATTGTCTGTAAACACAGATTTAAGGATCAGTTTAACAAAAACAACAACAAAACCCACATTAATAAACAAAATGTAGTACTGGCTGGTGCAGCTCAGTGGATTGAGGGTGGGCTGTGAACCAAAGGGTCACCGGTTCGATTCCCAGTCAGGGCACACGCCTGGGTTATGGGCCAGGTCCCCAGTGGGGGCCAAATGAAAGTCAACCACACACTGATTTTTCTCTCCCTTTCTTTCTCCCTCCTTTTCCCTCTTTCTAAAAAAGATAAATAAAATCTTTTAAAAAATAAACAAAATGTAATGAGAAAGTATAAACTATAAAAAAGGTACAAATAGTCTGACTGAGAAAACTAATAAAAGCAGTACACAGAGAATCATGCCCCACGCCAGCTTCAGTCAGCTAGCAAAAGCTGCCAGGGGCGGAAGGTCCAGAGGCTCGGTCCAGACAGCAGGAGAAACTGTGGGGAGCGCAGGAGAGGGAGGAGTCGCACCAACAGGCAGCACAGGCAAGGCTCCCTGCGAAGTGCGGTCCAAGGGAACCTGAGGGCACCAACACCAGAGCATCCCTGCACACAACACGCATACAAATCAAGTGCATGCGAGGCGAGGCTATTTTATTCATAAAAGGCTCAGAGTAGGGTAGAGGAACAGTCCTCAAGCCAGGCAGCACATTCCTGAAGAATGAAAGTCATTAAAAGGAATGCAAAGCCATGGATGGTTCAATGGGATTATGTATACAGAAACTTAACTTCAAAACACACACATCTGCCTGAGAACAGACACACTTATGTGTCTTTTAGAATAAAAATGATATATTCTTTATTTCCCTATTTATATATTTTTAAGGTTTTTAAAAATTGTTCAGGTACGGTTGTCTCCATTTTCCCACTAACTACTTTACCCTGCCCCACCCATCCCCACCTCCCAGCCTGAGTCCTTCCACCCTTTGGCTTTGTCCACGGGTCCTTTACACATGTTCCTTGACGACCCTTCCCCTTCTTTCCCTGTTATCCCTCTCTCCCCTCCCCTCTGGTTATTGTCAGTTTTTTCTTTATTTCAATGTCTCTGGTTATATTTTGCTTGCTTGTTTTGTTGATTAGGTTCCACATACAGGTGAGATCATTCCATCCATGTTATTGCAAAGGTTAGGGGCTTCTTTCTTTTTGCAGTGTAGGATTCCATTCTGTAATGTACCAGTTTTTTGACCCACTCATTTGCTCATGGGCACTTAGGTTGCTTCCAGCACTTGGCTATTGTAAATTGTGCTGCTATGAACATTGGGATACATAGGTTCTTTTGAATTGGTGTTTCAGGATTCTTAGGGTATAATCCCAGCAGTAGAACTGCCGGGTCAAAAGGCAGTTCCATTTTTAGTTTTTTGAGGAAATTCCACACTGTTTTCCACAGTAGCTGCACCAGTCTGTATTCCCACCAAGAGTGCACTAGAGTCCCCTTTTCTCCACATTGTCTCCAACGCTTGTTGTTTGTTGATTTGTTAATGGTGGCCATTCTTACCGGTGTGAATTGGTATCTCACTGTGGTTTTAATTTGCATCTCTCTGATGGCTAGTGATGCTGAGCACCCTTTCATACGTCTATGGGCCTCTGTGTGTCTTAAAAGCAATTGCTTTCCACTTCCCCTTTCACAATAGTCCTTCTAATTTATAAAATGGAACAGCTCGGCTATACCATACAATCTAAGTAATTACAGTGAAGGTCCAAAATAACTGTAGTTTGAAAACCTTATCTCTTTCATCAGCAGGAAGAACACAGTCAGACTTCACATGAAAGATGGATGAATGTTTTAACAATGTGGACTGGCTTTGCCAGTTAACTTATCTGGCAGGTATTTCCCATTATTTGAATAGCTAAATACACTGTTCTAAATTCTCATGAAAATTAATTTAAAGCACAGAAACTTTAATGAACAAGACTGTTTCATAATATTATATTAGAGACATTCTCAATTTTTCCAGTCTTTATCAAGTGTATCAGATCACATTAGGTGTTTCATGGTGGCTACTCTAGGTCATTGGCATTTCAACATGAATTTCAGGATTCTCAATTTCTGGCGCTTGTGTGTTGGGGGTGTGCAGCTGGGATTTTGATGATGAATGTGATGAATTAGAAGACCACATTGGAGAACATGCCACTCTAACACTGTTCTAGCCCATGACCATGGGTTACCTTTCCACTTGTTTCCTTCAATAATGTTTTGTAGTTTTCAATGTTAATGACTTGACCTTCTGTATTTTTTGGACCATAAGATGCACCAAGGTTTTAAAGGAAGAAAATAGGAAAAAAATTTTTGAAGCAAAAGATGTGGTAAAATATTTAATAACATAAATAACATAATATTTCACCAATGGAAATGTAAACAAAACCCGACAGCAGCATTAACAACCATTATTCCTCCCAAACTGGGGCAGGGGGAGCATGTCTTACAGTCTGAAAAATACAGTAATTTTGTTAAACTCATTCTTAAATAGCTTGGTATTTCTGATGCTCTTATAAATGAAATTAATTTATTTTCATACTGTCTACTGTTAGCACAAAAATACAATTTATCTTGTATGTTGAATTCTATACACTTGCTGAATTTGCTTTTTAGATTCTAGTAGTCTTTTTTTTTTGTAAATTCCTTAGGGTTTTCTATTTATAAAATCAGGCCTTCTGCAAACAGAGGTCATTCTACTTACTCCTTTCTGATCTTGATATGTTTTTTTTCTTTTCCTTTTCTAATTACCCCAGCTAAAATCTTCAATAATGATGTGAAAGTAGCAAGAGCAGACACTTTCATATTGTTCCTCATCTAGGGAACAGTTGTCTGTTTATCACCATCAAGTCCTACATGTTAGCTCTGAGTTTTTCATAAATGCTCATTTTCAGATTAAGGAACTTGCTTCTTATTCCTAGCTTATTTTTTCTTTTTAAATCACAAAATGGCACTGAATTTTGGAAAATGCTCTATCTATGTTTACTAGGATAACCACATGGCTTTTCTTTTTTATTCCATTAATATATTAGATTGATTTTCATCTGCTGAACCAATCTTGCACTCCTTAAATAAATCCCATATGGTTATAATGTATTGCATAATCTTTGAGATATGTTGCTGTGTTAGGTATGTACTTAAACTTTTTTTGTGTGTCTCCATTCATAAGGGATGTTAGTTTTGTGATGGCTTTGTCTGGTTTTGTAATCAAGGTAATATTGTCCTCATAGAATGTTTTTTGAAGTATTTCCTCTCCTTTTTTTCTGAATATTTTGAGAAGGATTTATACTAAAACTTCTTTAAATGTTAGATAAAATTCACAATTAGTAAAGTGAAGCCTTCTGGTCTTGGGCCTTTCTTTGTGGGAAGTTTTTTAAAATTACTAAGTCAATCACTTTATTTGTTATAGGTCCCTTCAGAATTTACACGGGGGTTGGCAAAAGTAGGTTTATAGCTGTAATACAAATAAACAATATGATACTTAAGAATAAATTGTTTCATGTACTCACAACTGTAAGCCTACTTTTGCCTATCCTGTATTTCTTCTTGAGTTAGTTTTAGTAGTTTCTATCTATCCAGAAATTCGTTCACTTCACACAGGTGATCTAATTTGTTAACACACCATCGTTGATGGCATTCACTTATAGTCTTTTTCATTTTTGTAAGGTAATAGTAAAGTGCTCTTTTTCCTTACTTATGTTAGTAATTTGAATCTTCTTTTTTTCATCAGCAGGCTTAGCTAGACATCTGTCAATGTTGTTGGTCTTTTCAAAGAATAAACTTTTGGGTTCATTAAAATATTTATTGTTTTTCCATTTTTTAGTTCTTTCTGCTCTATTTTATTTCTTCTGCTTTCTTTGGGTTTAGTTTGCTTTATTTTTGTATCTCACACTGACAGGTTAGCAATGAACTAACCTGTCAGTGTGGGAAAAGAAGAATGTTAAGATATTCTTTTATAATACAGGCATTATCAGCAACAAATCTGCCACTTAGCACTGCTTTAGCTGTATCTTATACATTTTATGTTGTGTTTTTGTTTTCATTTACCTCAAAGCATTCCTTAATTTTCCTTTGACCCCTAGGTGATTTAGAAATGTGTTTATTTCTGCAAACTTCATTCTGCTAATGATTTCTAATTTCATTTCATTTTTGATCAGTGAGTATATTTGGTATATTTTCACACCTTTGCAATTTGTTAAGACTTTTTTTCTGTCCTGTCCTGGAGAATAC